GACTTTTACAGTGACTTGCGAAATACTGGTAACGTGTTCTGAAACCTGCTTTTCCTTTTATGTTGTGCCTATTTAGAGCAAACATGAAAACCAAGGGTGGGAGAGGTCATATCATATAGGTACATGTATTTTTTATTTGTAATTTCTTTTATATTTGTGGACACATATATGTGAGTTATTTGCATGAACTTATCTGATGTTCTTTCAGTCCTTATTTTCACAAACAACTTTATAGTAGAAAAACTGTAAGCTCCCCAAACCCACTATTTATGGCTATTAGCCTTTCTCCTGCTCTTATCAATAACCTAAGTGTAACTGTAATCAGAGTATTCCTGTTATCTTTATCTGGATGTTATTTAGATGTTATCTAGATGTCATTTTATCCAGACACGATTTTTATCTGAGCTTTTCCAGAAATTTGAATGGTTTGCATATTTTTAGTTAAAAGGAATATAGTATTTCAATTTATTTGTGTTTCTTTGTACTAGTTAATGCTATATCATTAGTATTTTGATTAATAAAACTTCTAAAATTACTCTTTTGATGATGATGATGATGATGATAAGAAGTAAGTGTATATCATAGTATTATTAACTAAATGTTCATTGCTTCATATAATGGTGATACTGAAGTTTTGAGCCAATCTATATTGGCTTTGAGTCTTTGAAAGACAATCTAACTTTATTTAGCTAAATATTTTATCTATATTGTAGTCTTAAAAAAGAAAACAAATGACCTACACCCTCCAACAAACAGCTAAAAATAAGGAGCATCTTCTGACTGGTGAGCTAAATTAAAAGAAAAATAAATGGACACATCCTTACATCAAAAAACTATCATCTTATGATTTCTCTCTCATACGTGTAAGCTAGAGAGAAACAAAGAAATAAAACTTGGGGGAGGCAAGTAACCCATGGAAAAATAAGAGAGATTTTTGGAGTAGAGGAAGAGGATTGATGGGGAGAAAGAGGAACAAGAAAAGGGAGGAATAGTGGAGTGAAAATTGAGAAATTATGCTAAGTACATACAATGAATATAGCACAATGAACTTCACCTTTATATATATCTGTAAATCACCAATTAAAAAACTAAATAAATAGATAAATAGGAGGATGACCAATAGGGTAGAGGAAGGGACATGGAAGGAAGGAGGAGGGGAAGGAATAAAGAAGCACTAGAGATCATAATGGGGCAAATGACAATCAGTGCATCCATGATCATGTCAAATGAACCCAACTATTATGCATAGTTACAATACACTAATAAAACATTAAAAATGCACCACTCTAAGTTAATTTGTGTAACAAAGCCAATGAATTGACATCAAGAATGGAACTACAAGATCAAGCAGTTTGGGTGCATGTAGTCATTGGCTGTGTTTGGTAGGGGCCATCAACAGTCACCTTTCTTCATAGCCATACAAGCAACTCACTACTGAAGAAAGGGTCACCCTAACACTTTACTCTGATTTGGGGAGGTGAGTTTGCAGGCCCAGGAAGCTACCGGGCTAGTGCTGTGGCCTTGGAAACATGGAGTGGAAAGATTGAAATCACCAGAGAAACTTCCCCCGCTTCGTGATACAAATTGAGCAGCTACTTGCCTTCCCTAGAGAAGAGAAGATCTGCTAGGAAAGAGAGTATTTCAATTTAAACCAGAAGTGAACCTTCTTGAAGATGTTTTTAGCTCCTATAATTTCAAGCTGTAACTCTATGTTGGGTCCTTAGGATCCAATCCAAAAGGGTGGATTTTGCCCAGGCTACAACTACTTCCACATTTTCAGTGACACCAGCATTATTACAGTATGAACTCAACCTACTCGTGGTGGATACCTCTATTGTAATAGACTGGTGCTTGCTATATGATGATTTATGTAGATATGCATATAAAGCACAGACTTAAGCTTCCCATGGTTTTCAGTTCCTTAATTTTATTTGTTAGAAAACTCCATGGTACCACTTTTTTTTTTCCTGTATAAGGATTTCTTGATTTTTTTAATGATACATCTGTCTAGAGAAACTTGCTCATTCATCATAATTAATCTTCATCAAAAAGCCTGCTGGAAAGTTTGATGATAAAGGGATTATTTTTGATAAGCACACCAAATAGATATAAAGTCAAAAAGGAAGCAGACCAGCTTTCAGAAACATTTAGCTATCCTTCAAAATATTCAAGGAAAAATTTTTAAAAATTTTTGCTTACTTTTTTTTTTTGCTTCCCCATTGTGCATTATAGTTGATAGGATTTGTTGTTACATTTCCATACCTGCACACCATACAACAATATAATTTGGTCACTATTACTCCCAGCTTTTCCTCCTTCCCTGACTCCCATCCTCTGGTCCCTTTCCTCTCCTAAACTTCCTTTGATTTCCATGATACCTCACCAGTCCACCTTTCTTTTCCTTTGTAGCTTCTGCATATGAGAAAAAACATGTGTCCCTTGACCTTCTGAGTTTGATTTACTTCACTTAGTGTAATGGTCTCTATATCCATCCACTTTCCTGGAAATGGCGTAATTTTGTTTTCCTTTATGTCTGAATGAAACTTAATTGTGTATATATACCATTTTATTCATTCTTTCATTGATGAATACCTAGGCTGGTTTCATACTTTGGCTATTGTGAATTGTGCTGCTATAAACGGGCATTCATGTATCACTGTAGTAAGATGACTTAGATTATTCAGGGCAAGTCCTGAGGAGTGGTATTGCTGGGTCATATGGTGGCTTCATGCCCAGTCTTTTGAGGAGCCCCCATACTGATTTCCATAGTGGCTGTACCAATGCACATTGCCACCAACATTGTAAAACAGTTTAAAGGAAGATTTTTAACACTGAAATACTACATCCATCTTCTGTCCACATTGCCAGATAATTAGGTCATTAAGATCTGGGGAAATAGCTATTTTTGCTACAAGATCTTCCCATGACATACACAGATAAGTCCGTTATCTGAGGGAAAACATCAGGAAATTTGCTCTTCATGTGACCTTGATCATGCATATATTTTTCAGGCCACTTGCTCCAAGAGAATCATAGAGATAGAGCATGGGAGTGAGGGAGGTGGGGAGGGGACTCACTGAAGCTCCAGTGCAGCTCTGAAAACTCTAGTTCTTGATCATTCCAAGAGAATAAAGGGGAGACTCAGTTATGAGGTGTGGCCCCAAACAGAAATTCACAGTTATAAAAGCTGATACTGTTTATAAAGCCTAGGGATCTTTAAATTTTTGCTTCCCAGACAGTTCTGTATCTTTCATGTTAAAAAAAAAGTTATATTTCTTACCAGCCTAATTCATAGCTACTTATAACCCTGAAAATTTTTTTGATGTTGGACTTTGATTGAACATGGTTGGGTATGTAATGAAAATAAAATTTGGTTTCCTCATAGAACTACTATAAAATCAGCAAACTATAAACAGTCTTTTATATTAATAATATATTATATTTAGAAAGCAGATTATATGATATATGTATACTGTATTTCATTACAAGTTTAAAATATTCATGCACAGAGAAAAAATACATAGGGCATATACCACACTGTTTATAGTGTTATTCTGGGAAGTAGGATTATGGTGTATTTCTCTTCTTTTATGTGTTTTGAGAATATTGGATAATAAACATATATTATTTTGAAATAAAAAAAGGAAAGTGTTCAAAATTGGCTTCTAAGAGTTTAACAATTGAAAAGCTTGAGATCTATTGAGTCTATAGGTTGAGTCTAGATTATGCTGTTTAATATGGTGACTGCTGGTCGCAAATGGTTATTTTAAATTATGTTTAAGGGCCGGGGATGTGGCTCAAGCAGTAGTGCTCTTGCCTGGCATGCGTGCGGCCCGGGTTCGATCCTCAGCACCACATACAAACAAAGATGTTGTGTCTGCCGAAAACTAAAAAATAATTATTAAAAAATTCTCTCTCTCTTTTTCTCATTTTCTCACTCTCAAGAAATATATTAAAAATAAAAATAAATTATGTTTAAACTAATTAATTCAGCTCTTCAATCATACTAGACACAAACATTCTTCCAATGCTACAGTTTCATTATCACACACAAAAAAAGTCTATTCCACAGCCCCGGTGGGGAGCAGGTTACCAACGGATACTGGTTACCAAGAACAGAAGATAGAGAGTTTTCAGTGGTGTCAACTCCTTGTCACCAGTCCCTCTTGTACACCTCACTAACCTGTGACCTAATAAACTCAGAATTTCCCATTCAATTCACCTAGTTAGTGTCAGAGCAAAGACAGACAGACTCCTAATTCATAGCTCTTGCCTCCATATCAACAGCATCATCTTCTGCAGAAAACTGACACTCCCGAACAATGTTCAATTCAATTCAGTTCAGCAGGATTTCATAGACATTTTTTAAGTGTTGAAAATGTGATGTGCATCAGAATAGGCCTTAACTGTGTCAAACCAAGGAAGAGAAATTTCCCTTATCCTTCCCACCCCCAAGGGATTTTGAAGATCACAAATGGAGGGGTGTGCTGGGTAGAGTGATAGCACAGTGTAGGGACAGGCCTGTTTTCCTGGGAAATCCACAAATACTTCATATAGGTGGATATTCTTGAGTTGAGTCTTGATATTTGGGCATCCAAATTCACAGATCAACAAATCTTTGAGATTCTCATTTTTCCGGGCTCCCGAAGAAGAGAGGCCAGACCCTGCTTTGGAATGCACTTGATCCCTGGCCTAACACTGTATTTCATTTCATGTGGAATAGTTAGATATGTTCAAGTCTGTGCATTTGGACTGATTTTTTTTTCTCTTTAGGCCTGGTTCCATGCATGTAAAATAATTTCTACATCTTCAAATGAAATTTTAAAAAGTGATGATTTTAAGATTTTGTCCTCCATTTTATTTTTGACTATATAAAATTAAGAAAAAAAATGTACATGAAACAGTTATTTTTCAGCCAGTTGTTTTGAAAATGTTTAAATGCAGATTAAGAACCTGGTAACTCCTGTTCTCAAATAAATCATGTCCCTGTATTTCAACAGATGCAATGCTCTTGGTGGCAGAGCGACTGGAAGGGCCTTTCAACATCGAGTCTGTCATGGACCCCATAGATGTCAAGATTTCTGAAGCCATTATGAACATGCAGGAGAACAGCATGCAGGTGTCTGCAAAGGTATTTGCATTAATAATGTATCTGCTAACTTATGTACATAATACAGGTGCAGTAATCTAGAAATGAAGTCACAAGATACATTGGCTGGGATGATAAATTGTAATATGCTGCCAATGAGCTTTTCCTGTTGAGCTAAATTTGCTTCTTTGTGAAAAGGGTGTAACAAAATGGCATTGAGAAGGGAAGCCATTTTTTCCTTCGCAACCCCTTAAGCATGACAAAATGACTGGCCACCTAGAAGTTTCAGTGAGCCCCAAGTATGCTGATGAATTCCCTCACGTTTGTGAGTAATTTGGGTGAAATTTTCTTTTTTTCATGTTTGAAATGTCCACACACCCTCACCATGTTCTGTATCTCTAGTAACTTCTGATTTATCATCAGCTGTAAAGGTGAGGCACATGTTCTGTATGTTCAATTGTAAATAATTAAACATCCTATCTGGCTTCCTTTGAACACTAGGTCAAATGTTCATTAATGAATCATCAGGGGCAAACGTTCCTTTGTATGGAGTCGAGCATACATTAAAAGGAAAAATGTAGTGCATTTTCATAAATCATATGAGACAGGACTCCTGGGCTTGCAGCTGCAGAACACAAAAACCAGGTGCATAGAGGTTTTTGATTTTTGTTGTTGTTGTTGTTTGTTTTATTTTGTTGTCTGCACCCAGTTGAAGATACATAGAACCTTCTTCAAGCAAAATCGAGACATTTTCAGTGGGTCTCCAGCTTCCTCCTTCGTCAGCCCTTTCCTCCCACACTGTGCCTGCACAATGCCCTTCTGTTCTCTTTCCCAGCCTCCCTGTCAAGAAACACTAACGAAATCTGTATCAGTCCTTTAAACCTAGTGACTGAGCGATTGCATTTTAATTGAAAGTCATTTGCACTAAAATATGTCAGGCAAAGAGTTGCATGATTAGCTTTCTTCAATTTTTAAAATCCTTTGTGAAAGAGATTTCAAATATAATCAAGCAGGAGGGGAGAAATTGCAAAGCAGAAAGAAAGCCATGGAATCCCCCTAGGTCTGTTTGGTTGAGTGTAAATCAAACGAGATTTGGGCTTTTTAGGGTAAACTTGTAGGAAGTAGGAGGAGAAAGACTGTAGCCTGGGTTTCTTTCTCTGGAAGGTTGGTGAGCCAAGAGTTTCCCAGACCTGTTTCTGGGTTGGGGTACCCAGCATGAAGGAGAACACTCCAAATTACCATCAACTATTGGGGAAATAGCACACTTAGGGGTTCCATGAAGAGTTATTTTCTTTCTTTTCTATGCCGAAAAAAAATGAGCAATCATCTCTTTCTCTCAAATCTATGGCTTAGAAACTGAAGGCCCTTGTTTTGAGAGGCCAAATATTTCAGTAGTGCTCAAGAAATTAGGTGCTACGGTTGTAGAAGTTCAAACTGGCTCTAGAGAAGAGGACACAAAACAGTCATGGATAAAAGGGTCATTAAAGGGTCTGAGATCATCCCTCACTTCCTGGAAATAAGTGTCTGTTTCCATTGGGGCGTGCTCCTACGTGTTCAAGTCAAGCATTTCTTCCTTCTTCTTTTTTTTTTTTCTTTTCATACATCCTTTCAGCAAATATTTATTGAGAATCTACATGTCAGGCATAGTTCAGGTTCTGGGCAGGCAGGAGGGGACAAGTCACAGCTCCTACATGAACAAGGTCATGGCCCCCTTCTTTGCCTTTCAGCTGCTTCCCTTGCAGTGTGGGATCCAGACTCCTGCCAGGTCTTGCACTGTCTGGTCCCTGCCAACCTGTGACCTTCACTTCTTGTCATTCAACGCTGTGCAGCCATCTGGATTTTTCTCAGTACCTTGAATGTTTCTTTGCCCGTATGCTTTACCTGCCAGTCCCATTTCTGCAGGTCCCCCTTGTGATTCCCTATTAAAATCTGGGTTTCTATCCTACACTGGAAATAGACTGGTGTGCCGGGACTTGCTGCTTGGCCTTCCTTTGACTTCACTAGTGGGAAACTGCAGGGCATACAGGAGTCGCTGATGTGTTCCTAGAACCCAGCTCGACACTTAGTACAGAGCAACTCTCAACAAATAATAATTGAATTACTTAAAAAAAGAAAAAGAGGAGTAGCACTAGTAATCGAACTCCAAACAACTTTTAAGAAATCAACCTTTTTCAAGGATTGCCTATATTACTTTTAGTTAGTTTTTAAAAATGGAAAAACAGAAAACTACATATTTATAGTATACGTGATGTTTTGAAACAGCTATACAAAGTGGAGTGGATAAATTAAGCTGATTAACATATGCATTATACTTTACATCCTTCCATATATTTTTTGTAGTGAGAACACTTTAAATCTAGTCTTTGAGCAATTTTCAAGCATACAATACACATTGTTGTTAAGTATATTTCAAATCAAGTATTCCATCAAAAATTCTCCAAGTCTGGTGGACTCTTTAGAATGTCAATGAGATGTTTTTGTGGATTTTGTCCAACTACATTAGAATACTATTGCTGTTAATAAAAATGTCCTTTGAAAATGACATATTTCTTTGTAAGAAATGCTAAAGTCAAAAGGAGAAATAATACAAGGCACATAAGAGTCTATTGGCACAGGGGATACAATAAAAAGGGTCATGTAATAATAATACAAAAACATGTCCAATGGACTGGCAGCAAGAGTGTATCTGGTAGGTGTGGCATAGAGGAAAGAGAATGGAGGGAGTTAAAAAGAGGAAAGGAAAGAGGATCAGGACCTGCAAGATGGCGTTGAAGAAGAGCCAAATCCAGCCTTTAATATTGTGGTTAGAATTGGGATAAATTTAACAGGAAACACCAATAGGATTGGCCAGTAAACAAACATGTTCTGAAAAGAGGTTTTATTTCATCAGTGGAATGGAATTTTCTTCTAAACTTAGATAGACATGGTCTCGTTTTCCATATAAGCCACATCCATGGAATTCCACATGAAGGGGAATCTAAAATGTACATGCTAGCTAAGAAGCAGTATTTATCCTTTTTCTAAAAGAAATCCTTAGTCACTGTGGATAAAGACTCTCATTAAACTTGAAGTTCTGAATTTCCATACTGGGACTGGAGTATCTACCTAGAGATACTGTTCACTTCTGATCGGTAAAATTCACATGTGGCCAAGAGCTATTTCTTAATTGGGGGCAGGACATTCTGAGAATTAGAAATCTGTTTACACATTAAAATGACTTTTTACTCCAGGATATGATTAGTACCTTTTCCTTTGAAAATCATATATTTTATTAAAGCATTTACTGATAGAAGTCATTCCCAAAGCCACTTAAGAAAACAGCAATATATATAACTGCCAAATCATATTTATTGAGCACATGCTGCCAAACAGCGTACTAAGTGCTTTTCATGGTTTACATTATATGATATCTATAAAAATGCTGTGATGAGTTTATATTTCCCCGTAGTTTTCAGACAAAGAAACCAAGACTTGGAAAAGTAAAGAACCTTACCAAGATCTCATGGTGCCGTGGGTATTCCAAAGCCCATCTTTCAGATCAATATATTACAATGAGGCTGATGTCTGCAAAGTGAATCTCATAGGAGGGTAGAATTCAGTGAATATTTGCTCAGTAAATCAAGTCTTAACAGAAGGTTTCACAACCTTCAGTAAAACCTGCATGAGAAGGTACAGAAACAGAAGTGGCAAAGGCCGGTGAACTCAAGCTGTCGTCCTGATTCCCTTTACAACTGTACCTACTACTTCCCAACATGACAAATTCTGATTAAACATTTATCTTATCCATCCTAATCACTCATTCCTTCCAACCTTTCCTAGAATTGTTATAGTAAAAAATATAAAATTCCTTTTTCTCCCTTCTGTATCTAAAGGCGGAAGAAATGCTTCAGATATGAAATCCTTTTCAACAAATGCTCTCATCATATCTAGAGGAAGGAGAACTAATCTCTTTGTACATAATAATTGAGATCATGAATTAGAGGGATTTACAGACTAATGAAAAGATCTCTTTTCCCCATGTATGTTCATGCTTCAATCTTGTCCCAGATCTGTTTTTACAGATATTGCCAAATTCGTCTGCCTCTCCTGTTTAGCCCACAGGGAAGCAGTGGGGGTAAGGCGCAATGAGATTCCTTTCTAAAAACAGAAAAAAGAAAAAAAAATACATGACCATACCAAATTGTGTAATCAAGCTACAGTATGCATTTTAATGATAACATCGCAGTGCTCATTTTTTAGACATTTTATTTATTTATTTATTTGATGTGGCTCTGAGGATTGAACCCAGTGCCTCTCACATGCAGGGCGAGCTCTCTACCACTGAGCCACCTCAGCCCCCCCCACAGTGCTCATTTTAATTCCAGATTTTTTTACTCTTTGTACAGATCACCTACATTTTAAAAGACTGAGGACAAAAGTATATTAAAGTTTTTCTTGGTTTTCTTTTGGGCAAAGAATCACTTCGTAATGATGGCAGCCATCATGGTCGAACCCCTACTATATCCATTCAGCGAATACCCCACCATATGCCAGGCACAAGAACTTCAGTGGATTCTTGTGCGGGTCTCTTCCTAGATTCCTTATTTACACACTTATTTGAAATCCTTACTGCATTCTTGTAAAGCATCCATTTCCTTGTTTTATAGGTAAGGGATGTTAAATTTAGGAGATTAAATAGCTAGCCTGAGGTGGCAGAGGTGGGATTACAGCCCACATCTGTCTGAGCCAAAGAAAAAGATTCTCCCAGCATGCCACAGTTTTCTCCTTAAGTATCTACCCACCAGGAACAGATGCACATCAGTACTGGAGGGTTAGCTGTGTGAGGGAGGGCTGGGTGCCTCCACACACTGTGGGGGGCCTGTTGGTGAGAGGCAGGGTGTTAGGTCTTCCAACCTCAACCCCCTTATTTCCTTCGCCAACTACACAGTCTTCAAAGACATGCAAAAACCCTATTGTTTCTCCTCCTCCCCCAAATAAAAGCAGTTCAAAAGCTGCAAGTTTGTGGAAATTCCCCAAGGGAAAGTAGGAAAAAATGAGCTGAA